TCTTTTTTTCTTTTTTTGAGACGGAGTCTCGCTTTGTTGCCCAGGCTGGAGTGCAGTGGCACGATCTCGGCTCACTGCAAGGTCCGCCTCCCGGGTTCACGCCATTCTCCTGCCTCAGCCTCCTGAGTAGCTGGGACTACAGGCGCGCAGCACCATGCCCAGCTAATTTTTTGTATTTTTAGTAGAGACGGGGTTTCACTGTGTTTGCCAGGATGGTCTTGATCTCCTGACCTCGTGATCCGTCCGCCTCGGCCTCCCAAAGTGCTGGGATTACAGGCGTGAGCCACCGTGCCCGGCAAGAGACCATGTCTCTTAAAAAAAAAAAAAAAATCTGGATATGAGTCTCTTCTAGAAATACAAGAAGCAGCTCTGGACACACCAGGAGCCAGAGCTGAAATGTGTCTGTCCTTCAGCCCAGGGGTCCAGGGTACCCACTGTCCTCACCTGTCTGGACCCTACGGGCTTCTGCACTGCTGACCCCAGGTCTATGCTGCAAAAGCTAAGGCTTATTAGGTCTACAGAGTGAGGAGCAGGGCTGAGCAGTCTTCCCCAAGGTCAGGGGTTGTTACTTAGCTCTCCTTTGCTGATTTCACTCTCAACTCCAAAGGCCCCATCAAGGCCATGGCAATTCTAAGGCAGGTGAACGTTGGTGTTGGCATCACAAGCCTGCTAGTCTTGCATAAGAATCCGTTAACTCAGTGTCAGTGGAGACTCAACGGCCTCTAGTCTCACTTCCCATACCAGGGCCTGAGGATTTTGATTAAATTCAAAGGCAAGTCCTGGAGAGAGGGTGCCACCAGTAGCCCCTTGGGTAGCTTGGTCCCAGGGTCTTGACAAGGAAGTGGATGACAAGGTGAAGACCCAGTGATTGCGGTGCAGCTGCAGGTAGGCAGGCCCAGCTTACATCCTGACTCCTGCACTGAAACTTTGGACAAGTCACCTTCCCAAGGCTCAGTTCCCTCATCTGTAGCCCAGAGCTAATATTACCTGCATGCTGTTTCCAGGAACAGGTGCCTCCACCAATCACAGCAGCAGTGTCTCATCGACCTTGTGAGTGGAAACCCTTGACAGGGTTCTCCAGATAAACAGAAGCAATAGGAGAGAGAGAGAGAGAGAGGGATGGATTTTAAGGAATTGGTTCACATGACCGTGGAGGCTGATAAACTGGAACTTGGTAGGGAAGGCTGGCTGGCTTGAAGCTCAGACAATATCTCTACATTACATCTTGCGGCAGAACTTCTCCTTTTCCAGGAAACCTTGGTTTTTGCTCTGAAGGCCTTCGGTTGATTGATTGAGGCCCATATTACTGGTGATAATCTCCTTTACTTAAAGTCAACAGTTTTACATATTAATTACATGTACAAAATACTTTCTCAGTAATATCTAGACTAGGTTTTTTGTTTTGTTTTGTTTTGTTTTTTTGTCATTGTTGTTGTTGTTTTTGAGATGGAGTTTCACTGTTGCCGAGGCTGCAGTGCAGTGGCTTGATCTCGGCTCACTTCAACCTCTGCCTCCCGGGTTCAAGTGATCCTCCTGCCTCAGCCTCCAGAGTAGCTTGGATTACAGGCGCATGCCACCATGCCCACCTAATTTTTGTATTTTTAGTAGAGACGGGGTTTCACCATGTTGGCCAGGGCCTCGGCCTCCCAAAGTGCTAGGATTATGGGCATGAGCCACCACGCCTGGCCTAGACTAGTATTTAATAAGACAATGGGCACCATAGCCTTGCCAAGTTGACACACAGCATTTAGTCAGTACAGAAAATAAGACTCCCTTTCTGTACATGAGGAAATTCAAGCTCAGAGAGGCTGTGCCAACTGCCTAAGAACATAGAGCACACAGTGGATGGAGCGGGGAGTCGAATCCAGGCAGCGCACCGCCTCCACACTCTGAGAATGGGGCTGCAGGTAGCTGCTTCACAGGGGGCCTGTGAGAGTTGAAACACACAGTGCCTGGTACCACACTACAGTAGAGACACAATTCAATTTGGTAGTGGCTGTTAACTACCGTTAACACAGATCATTCAATAAGGGGGTGACTGTGGGAGCAGGGAGAGGAGACAGGGAGGAGGGGGCTGCTGTTCCCCACCATTGGAGATGGGTTTTAGGGTGGCAGCAAACCCTTTCCTCTTTCCAGAAGGGCCCCCTTTCTTCCTTCTAGGAACCTCCAAGGAGGGAGCCAAGGAGGGTGGGAGGCCTCTGCCAGGCTGTGGGCCCTGGGTGCTGTGCAACTGGGCCCAGAATAGCTGGCCAGGTGCAGGGGAGAGAGTGAGCAGTATCCACCAGTGTGTGGGGTCTGGAAGGAGTCCTGCCTTCTGAGGCTGTGGCTGGCTGCCCAGAAGTTCCTGGAAGTGGGCAACCTCTCCTGAGTTGGGTGGCCGGCGGCTGGCCAGAGCCTTGGCCAGCCTCCTTGGCTAAGTGCCCCCATCTGCCTGCCCAAACTGGTCCTGTCACCCAGAAATAGAAAAATGCCTCCCCTGAGACCTGAGACCCTTGAAGCTGCCCCAGCCTCATTCTTCCCTTCTTCTTCACCCCGCCCCCACAGGGTGGAGTGCTGGACCGGAAGCCAGAAGGGCCAGGAGGTCAGCCACACTCCCCACTTGCTGGCTACATGACCTTGGACAACTCAACTATTCTGAGCCCCTGTCCCTTGTATGGGTTAATAATTGTACTGACATCTGTAGGGTGGCTGTGTGGGGGCTCTGGGGTTGTGCATATAATCACAGAGCCAGGTCAAACATTTGCACACACTGGCTGCTGCTGCCATCTTTGCTCAGCAGGTTTGCATGCTCCCTGGCCTTCTCCTTATTGGCCCTGCCTAGCTGATCCACGCTCACTCTCTTCTCACTCCTGCTCCCCTTTGTTCCAGCTCCCTTGTGTCTGGAAAGAAGGGGTACGGGTAGGCCTTTAAATGCCAACAGGGCCAGAGAGAAATAAGGTCCCTGAATTGGTGGATAATTGCACTGTTGATGATGGCAGGATTCTAACGTCTCCTGGCCTGGCTCTACCACACACCCCTCCCTCTCCCCTGCTCTCTTGACTCCAGCCTCCCTGTCTTCCTCCATGCTCCTTCTCCACATCAGGCTCCCTCTAGCCTTCACTGAGGGCCCCTCAGCCTGGTCATTCTGTCCCAGGTGTCATCTCCTTGACACCAGGGTGCAGCCCTGAGGTGGGTCCCCCTTCCCATGCCGCCGTTCTCCAATCCAGCACCCTTGTCCACACTGGTCACAGCCTGCTACGGCTTCTTTGCTGATGTCTGTCTGCCCAGCAGCTCAGGACAGGGAGGGAACTTCCCCACACTGCTCATCCTCATCCCCCTAAGCCCCGGCAGTGGATCAGGCAGACCAGGGCCCCTTGAAGGTGATGAGGCAAGGGCAGGCACAGCTGGCCACAGGAGAGGGCTCAGCCTGTGCCTGCCTCTGCCCCATTAGGGGCCCTAATCTGCCTGATCCACATGTAGGGGCTTGGGGGGATGATGACAAGCATGGAGGAATCCACCTCTGGGCCAGTCCCTTCCAGGGAGCCACTAATAGCTAGCCTGATCCTTCCCCTAGCCACTGACCCCAGACCCTCCTCCAGAGGCTGTGAGCGCAGTGTGGGAGACGTAGAAATCAGGACATCTGGGTCTCCCTGCAGCCCAAATATCACTTTCTGTGTGACCTCGAGCAAGTCCTCTCCCCTCTCTGAGTCTTAGTCTCCCTGGCTGTAAAATGGCTTAGGGCTGGGAACACACACTGGTGCCTACAAAGCCAGGAAGGTGTCGCTGCTTGGACATTACATTCCTCAGGGTTGGGGACACACTGAAGGGAGGGCTGATAGAGAATTGGAGACAGCACACCCTGCCTGGGCCAGCCCAGGTGCTCCAGGTCTGCTGATTCCTCAAAAGAAGCTGAACATCTGAGGCTTGATGAGAAATCTCCTGCTGGTTAAATGTTGACAAGGAATTCACATTTTATTATAAAACAAGAACGTCAGGCGCGGTGGCTCATGCCTGTAATCCCAGGCCGAGGATTTGGGAGGCAGAGGCGGGCAGATCACAAGGTCAGGAGATGGAGAACATCCTGGCTAACACGGTGAAACCCCGTCTCTACTAAAAATACAAAAAATTAGCCGGGCTTGGTGGCAGGCGCCTGTAGTCCCAGCTACTTGGGAGGCTGAGGCAGGAGGATGGTGTGAACCCGGGAGGAGGAGCTTGTGGTGAGCCGAGATTGCGCCACTGCATTCCAGTCCGGGCGACAGAGCGAGACTCCGTCTCAAAAAAAAAAAAAAAAAAAAAAAAAAAGGCAAGAACTACGTGGGCCACACAGAATTTATCTAGGCCACAGTTTGTGGCTGCTAGGCTGGAGGGCTGGGTTCATGGGTCCTCTGGGACATTTTCTGCTCTCTAGGATGGGGGCTGCTGCTCCCTGCAAAGCCCCCTCACTCCAGACCTGCCTCCTGAAGCATTTATTGACTTTGCTCCACTCCAGCCCCTCTCTCTCTTCTCGCAAACCAGAGCTCACTTGCTCTGCAACCACAGTCTAATGGGATTCCAAAGGCAGGGTTAGGACAAGGCCAGCGCCAGAGACCTCAGAACACTTTTGCTCTGCCAACCTTGAAATTCCATCTCACATGGTGGCTCCTGGGCCCCATCACTGTAAACTGGAGCTCATGCCTCCAACTGTTCAGGGCAGAGCTGAGCTGTTTCCAGATCCTCTACCCACTGTGTGAGGCTGGCCCCCATCTACCACTGCATAGAAGGGCACTGACACCCCAAGGAGCAGCAGCACAAGTTGGAGGAGTCCTATGTCCACCTGGGTTCTCCTTGAGAAGGATGCAGGATTTCTTGCTTGGCTGACAGATGTGGAAACTGAGGCCCAGAAGAAAGCAGCAGGTTTGCCCAGACTGAGCTACCTCACCTTCTTGGAGGGGTGCTGCTAAAAATAGTTCCTGGGAGAATGGGTCCTGGTGACGAGTGCTGCTTTCTCTCCCTGAGTCCACTTGCCAGCCTGCCACCCTCCACCACCACATCCTGCAAACCCACCCCTCTCCTGTGCCAGGAACTTGTTAACACCAGTACCATGCCCTACCAATACCCTTTGCTGACCCCAGAGCAGAAGAAGGAGCTGTCTGACATCACGCATCACATCGTGGCTCTGGGCAAGAGCATCCCGGCTGCAGATGAGTCCACTGGAAGAGTTGCCAAGTGGCTGCAGTCCATTGGCACCAAGAATACCAAGGAGAACCAGTGCTTCTACCGCCAGCTGCGACTGACAGCTGACAACTGCATGAACCCCTGCATCGAGGGCGTCATCCTCTTCCATGAGATGCTGTACCAAAAGGTGGATGATAGGTGTCCCTTCCCCCAAGTTATCAAATCCAAAGGCAGTGTTGTGGGCATCAAGGTAGAAAAGGGGGTGCTACCCCTGGCAAGGGCAAATGGCGAGACTACCACCCAACGGCTGGATGGGCTGTCTGAGCGCTGTGCCCCAGACAAGAAGGATGGAACCCACTTTGCCAAGTGGCATCACGTGCTGAAGATTGGGAAGCACACCCCCTCAGCCCTCGCCATCATTGAAAATGCCAACATCAGCTGGGCGCAGCGGGTCACGCCTGTAATACTAGCACTTTGGGAGGCCAAGGTAGGCGGATCGCTTGAGGTCAGGAGTTCGAGACCACCCTGGCCAACATGGTGAAACGTCCTCCTCTACTAAAAACACAAAAATGAGCTGGGCATGGTGGCACACACCTGTGATCCCAGCTACTCAGGAGGCTGAGGCAGGAGAATCGTTTGAACTTGGGAGGCGGAGGTTGCATGAGCCGAGATTGCACCACTGCACTCCAGCCTAGGTGACAGACTGAGATATCGTCTCAAAAAAAAAAAAAAAAAGAAAGAAAGAAAGAAAGAAAACAAAAGAAAATGGCAGTGTGTCAATGTCCTGGTCCGCTATGCCAGCATCTGCCAGCAGAATGGCATTGTGCTCATCGTGGAGGCTGAGATCCTCCCCAGTGGGGACCATGACTTGAAGTACTGTCAGTATGTAACCAAGAAGGTGTGGTTGCTGTCTACAAGGCTCTGAGTGACCACTACATCTACCTGGAAGGCACCTTGCTGAAGTCCAGTATGGTCACCCCGGGCCAAGCCTGCATCCAGAAGTTTTCTCACAAGGAGATTGCCATGGCAACTGTCACAAGTGCTATACTCTAGGGAATAAGTGGCCTAGAAGGATCACAACTGGGCCAGAACAGGGCCCACCCAGACTCATCACTGAGGCAGATGGGGTCATTCTCATTTCACAGACACAAAAACTAAGTGCTACACTGCACAGTGTCCCCTGCTGTCCCTGGGATCACTTCCTATCTGGAAGCCAGAGCAAGGAGGTGTCCATTAACCTCAATGCCATTAACAAGTGCCCCCTCCTGAAGCCCTGGGCCCTGACCTTCTCCTACGGCTGAACCCTGCAGGCCTCTGCCCTGAAGGCCTGGGGCAGGAAGAAGAACCTGAAGGCTGTGCAGAAGGAGTATGTCAAGTGAGCCCTGGCCAATAGCCTCACCTGTCAAGGAAAGTACATTCCAAGTGGTCAGGCTGGGGCTGCTGTTAATGAGTTCCTCTTCGTCTTTAACCACGCCTAGTACACGGAGGTGTTCTCAGGCTGCCCCCCAACACTCCAGGCCCTGCCCCCTCCCATACTCTCTTGAAGAGGGGGACTCCTCCTCGGGGCTGCAGGCTGGCTTGCCTGCGCTCTTGCCTCCCTCGTGACAGTGGTGTGTGGTATTGTCTGTGAATGCTAACTCCATCACCCTTTCCAGCACACTGCTAATAAACAGCTATTTAAGGGGGAAAAATAAAAATAGTTCCTGGGGCCCAGAACAAAAAGGGTGAATTCTGGGGGCTGGGGTTGACATTTTCCTTTTGCCTTGACCATTGGGTGGTACTATGTGCAGCAGCCCCTGATGGTGATAGTGATGATGACGAAGACCATGATGCAAACTGGGTGGGAGGGAAAAAAGGCCCCAGCGCCATCCCTGGGATGGGGCCTGACCTTGCCTCAACTCCAGCTGCCCAGGGCCAGAGCAAGTGATAAGATGAGTTTATACTGTGGCTCTGAGAAGGGAGAGAGGCAGAGAGAGAGGGAGGGAGGGAGAGAGGGAGGGAGGGAGGGAGGGAGGAGGGAGAAGGAGGGAAGGAGGGCAGAGGGAGAGAAAGGGAAAAGAAGATGGGGAAGGAGGGAATGATAAGGGAAGCGTGACAGGCAAAGAAGGAGAAGGAGAAGAAGAAAAGAAAGAAGAAGAGGAGGAGGGGGCAGAGGCAGGAAGAAGAGGCCCAGAAGGATCACAACTGGAGCAGAATAGGGCCCACCTAGACTCATCACTGAGGTAGGTGGGGTCATTCTCATTTCACAGACACAAAAACTAAGACTTAGGGCATGAGGTGATTTGCTCAAGATCTCAGAGTTAGGACTAGAACTCATGGCTTATGCCTTGCCCTTCAAGGCCTCAAACCTTGAACCACTCAAGAAACATATCTCAAGATACCTCACCCTTACCTCACCAGAAAGGTGGGCTGGTTAAAATGCAGATTTCTGGGTCAAATCAAAGGAGTGCGGCCCAGGAATCTGCATTTTGACCAGTACCCTGGGGGTGGTTCTTTGGGCCCTGACACTGGGAAACACTGTGGCTCGTTTAGGGCCTTTCTGGTCTGACCTCTTGGTGCCAAGTCCTGACCATACTCCCATTGCCCAGCTGTTCGGGCTGACTCATGCTGATCCCCCAACCGCCACCCCCACAGGGCTGAGCCTTTTCCATCCAAGCCTTCACCCAGTCTCCCAGTCGCATGTAGATCCACCCTTCTAGCCAGCACCCGCTTCTCTTCTGGAAGCCTTCCTCGTGGTTGGGATCCTCCTCTTTCAGCGCCTGTTGGAGTAATAGCCTCCTCCTCCTCCTCCTCCATCTGGAGTTGCTTACAACACTCTATTTCACTTTCCATGTGAGTTGGCCTTGTTTCCCAATCTTTCTTTATATTAAACAGGAAACTCCCAGAGGGCTAGGGACTTGCCAGTTTAAACAATAAGCCTCTGAAATACAGGACTTCACCTGACCCTCCCGCCAGCCACAAGTGGCAGGGCTGGGAGAGCTTTACAAATCAGGAAACCAAGCCTTGAAGAGGTTGTGGCCTGCCCAAGTCTATGGCCAAGTAAGATTCACAGCTGGATTTGAAACCCATGCCCAACTCCATTATCCAGTTCTTTCTGCTTTGGCTTTTCCTCTGATCGCCCCCCAAAAAAACCCTGTGAGGGCCGGGCACAGTGTCTCATGCCTATAATCCCAGCACTTTGGGACGCTGAAGGTGATCACTTGAGGTCAGGAGTTCAAGACCAGCCCGGCCAACATGGTGAAACCCCATCTCTACTAAAAATACAAAAATTAGCTGGGCATGGTGGTGTAATCCCAGTTGCTTGGGAGGCTGAGGCAGAAGAATCGCTTGAACCTGAGAGGCAGAGGTTGCAGTGAGCCGAGATTGTGCCACTGCACTCTAGTCTGGGCAACAGAGGGAGACTCTGTCTCAAACAAACAAAACAACAACAAAACAAAAAACAAAAAACAACCCTGTGAGGCAGGCATTTCAGGGGTTATGATCCTATTGCCCAGCTAAGGAAAGCAAGGCCCAAAGATGAGCAAAGCACTCAATACCATCCTTATTCTGTTCCCACTTACAGCTGCACTTGGGTCCAAGTGCTGACCTTTTCTCTCTCATCTTCTCTGGGTGATGGGCACTGCCCAGGATTCCTTGGCAGAATGGCACAGAACTGGGTCTTGAGCTCTCAGACCAAAGCACGCATCCTGGACAGGTCCCACTGCCACTCTGAACCCAGGTGCCTCCTCTGAAGGTGGAGACTCACCTCACCTGCCTTGCAGCCAGCTGGATGCTCAGAGAGGGAAATGCAAAGTACCTGGACACACCCTGGTCACCATCATTCTGGACTTTGTCCCTCTTGTTAATGCGTAGCTGGGAAAGGAATACTCTCAACTGCCCTTTCCTCAAGAATGGAGAGTACCTCTGAGCCTGGCACAGGCCCAGCCCAACTCAGCCCAAGCCAAGCTGGGAAGGGTGTGGAGCAAGGAAGCCAGACCGGCATTCCCGAGAGGGGTTTGCCAAGCCCTACACTTCATGTGTGGTGCCAGAGAAACTCAACGGAGGTATGGCCCAACGCTGACCTTTGGGATGGAGGCCTAAGCCACCCTGCTGGTGCCCAGGGTGGCCAGCAAGGGGCTTCAGACAACCCCAGATGGAAAATAAAAATAGTGGCTAATATTTGTTACATGCTAACTATTGTCAGGCCCTGTGCCTCCCCCTCCGCCCCAAGTGCTCAGAGCTGTGGAATGGATGGGTTCCATCCAGCCCTGTTCCTCTGCCTCCTCTGGATCATCTTAGACCGGAAAGTGCCACAGCTGAGTGTCCCGCTTCTTCCGCATCCTGCCAAGACCACTCCATCTGTAGGGGATACAATCAGCTCCACCTCCTTCGGGAAGCCCTTGTTCACAGTTTCCAAAGCAAGCCGCAGATGGGATGGATCCTGCTTAACACCTCGGCCCAGAACCCCTTGGATCTCCTTCTTCCTCCAGGTCCAAGACACCCATCTTAACAACCCTGTAGCCCCCAACTTGGCCCTAGCCGCCTCGACCTTGCCATTTTATACCCCACAATCGGGGCGTAGGGTTCTGAAGCCCAGGGTAGTTGGTGGGGAGGCAGCACGAGAGTGCAGGATGAGGTCGGGAAAAAAGACCTCGTCCGCTCACCGCCTGGCCCTTCCTCCTCCCGGCAGGCGAGCCGGGGAATCCCCGGCTGCACGGATAACCGCAGAGCCAAAGAAGTGGGCTTCTCTGCCCCGCCCGCCCAGCTCGCCGAGGGCGACGCGGCGCGCCTGCGCGGAAGAAGGCAGCGCCCACGGCGCATGCGCAGCGGTCACTCCTGCTATATATTAAGGCGCCGGCGATCGCGGCCTGAGGCTGCTCCTGGACAAGGGCAACGAACGGTTCGTTTGGACTTCTCGGCTTGAGTGCCCACCTCCTTCGTCGCCGCCTCCACAGAGTCCCCAGCGCAGGTGAGGGCCCGCGCGGTAGGTGCGGCGCCGGCCGGGGAAGCCCCCGCGTGTCCTGTCAGCCGGGGCACCTCTCCTCGGGGCGCTGGGACCCCATCCCCCACTGTCCGAGTCATCCGCCGCCTTGAGGTCAGCGTTTATCCTCCAGATCTTTTGCCTAGACGGCCGCCTCAGTTTCCCCCTTTCGGCCCCTTCCAGCTATTCCCGGTTGAACCCGCCGCTTTAGAATTCCCTTCTCATACCCCTCCCGTCATTCTCGAGACCTCGACCGCGGGTCACCTCTGACCCCCACTGCCCGAGTACTGCCTTCTTTCTCCAGACTCAACTCCCTCAACTTTATAGCCCCTTCGCGTCCCCAGTGAGTCCCAAGGCGCTGGTCCTCATACTCCTACCCTCGTTTGTGCCCCTCCTTTCTCAGTTATGCCCAGTTCTTCCCGCTGTGGGGACACGACCGCGGAGGAATCCTTGCTTCAGGGACTCGGGGGTATGCTGGACTCCTTCCTCGGGTTTAGGAGTGCTTTCGGGGATGCGGGGACCAGGAGAAAGTCAGGATCCCTAATAGTCTTCCCTGTCTGGATAGATGAGTGGTTTCTTCCCTAACATCCCTTCTCCACCTGGATGTAAGCCAAGATGTCTTATCTGCACTGTGCATCTCCCTAAGAAACCTCTGGCCTCCCAAACCTGTTTTTGACTTCTGCTTCATCCTTCTGCCCCCTTGGCTATGTACTGTCAGTATTTACTTCATTTGGTGAAGTTGCTTTGTGTAGAGCTGGGGAATGAAGAAGTTGGTGACCCGTGTAAAATGTGGTCACCATTCCTTAGCTGAGTCTCACATCAGTGCTGTCCTTAGGCATTTTTGAGGGAGAAGTGTTAGTATTCCAGGGTACCCTTTATATAAACTGCAGGTGACACCTGAATCCAATGAGCTTGCGGTGATATTTGCCTGATTATTAACAGCTGTTGATGTCACTCATCATCAGTCTTTCCACAGGAGCCAGCATACTTCTTGAACATGGAGACTGTTGTTCGCCGCTGCCCATTCTTATCCCGAGTCCCCCAGGCCTTTCTGCAGAAAGCAGGCAAATCTCTGTTGTTCTATGCCCAAAACTGCCCCAAGATGATGGAAGTTGGGGCCAAGCCAGCCCCTCGGGCATTGTCCACTGCAGCAGTACACTACCAACAGATCAAAGAAACCTCTCCGGCCAGTGAGAGTAAGTGTCACTGACAATGAAGGAGCAGGTACGGGTGTGTGTGCTCATTGGTAGACTAGAAGCAGTCCCCACAGTGGTGGTGAGGGCCACAGTCACTCACAAAGGGCTGCTCTGTGCACAGATTATCTCATATGATTGTCACCCCAAGGGTAGGCACTTTTAGCCTTTCCATCTTTAAAGGTGAAACAGTGGCCAGTGTTGCACATGGCAGGTTTTTGGATTGCATGTTAGTGTCTGTTGGGATTTTAGTGTTTCCTCAGTGCCTCGTTCACATAAATATTAAATTGGAGTGTTCTAATTTCCCTCATTAAACATTTGGCCTTCTAATTTCCCTCATTAAACATTTGGCCTTCAGCTTTTTATTTATTTAGTTTTTCTTTTTTGAGACAGAGTCTTGCTCTGTTCCCCAGGTTGGAGTGCAGTGATGCAATGTCGGCTTACTGCAACCTCCACCTCCCAGGTTCAAGCGATTCTCCTGCCTCAGCCTCCCAAATACCTGGAATTACAGGCATGCACCACCACACCTGGATAATTTTTGTACTTTTAGTAGGGTTTCACCTTGTTGGCCAGGCTTGTCCTGAACTCCTGACCTGATCCACCTGCTTCAGCCTCCCAGAGTGCTGGAATTACAGGCATGAGCCACCGTGCCTGGCACCTTTGGCTTTTTAAAGTAGTGACTTGTTTTTTTCCTTAAAAGTTTTTGTTTTATTGTGGTAAAACGCCCAAGAAAAGTTACCATTTTAAGCATTTAAAAATGTACAGTTCAGTGGTACATTCATATTGTTGTGTGACGATCACCACCATCCATCTCCAGAACTTTTTTTGTCTTCTCAAACTGAAATTCTATACCTATCAAACAGTAACTCTCCATTCCTCTCTCCCCAACCCCTGGCAACCACCAGTCTACTTTCTGTCTCTATGAATTTGGCTATTCTGGGTACCTCATATAAATGAAATCGTACAGTATTAGTGATTTTAAAAACAAATTTATCTTGGCTGTGTGCAGTGGCTCACTCCTGTAATCTGAGCGCTTTGGGAGGCTGAGGCGGTTGGATCATGTGAGGCCAGGAGTTCAAGACCAGCCTGGCCACGTAGTGAAACTCCATTGCTACAAAAAATACAAAAATCAGCTGGACGTGGTGATATACACCTGAAATCCCAGCTACTTGGGAGGCTGAGGCATGAGAATTGCTTGAAACCAGGAGGTAGAGGTTGCAGTGAGCTGAGATCATGCCATGTATCTTTATTTGTATATACATTTGTTGTTGTTGTTTTCAACAGAGACTGGAGTTGAATTTAGTTTGCTCTGGTTCTGCTAGGAGAGAACAAGGCTTTTCAGGTTCCACTTAATCCTAGAGAGTATTTTACAGGTTTTTCTTAGGCGTGTTCTCTGGGTGTGGGCTTGTAAGAAAAGAATTTTTGTTTTTCTTTAAGCAGAAAGGATTTAATCCTTTATAGGGTTTATTTTCAAGAGTTAGTTATGTCTTTTTTACCAGAATGCTTGCAATGGTTATGTTTTAAATGATAGGTTTTTTTTTCTTTTTCTAGACTTTAATGAATATGTATTACTTTTATAATAAATGAAGTTAACTTCAAAATAATTTTTTTGGCTTTCTTTTATAGAAGATTTTAATGAAAACTGTATTGAGACACCTTACCCAAGTTATAGGAAAGGCTAGCCAGTGACTCACAGGAGTATTCCAGAATGATGAAAAAAGACTTTTCTAGAAAGAAGGTGAATGAATTTGCTCAAGGGGAGAGGGAAGTCACTGTAACTAGAAGGATAATTACCAGCCAACTGTGTTAAGTCAGCAGACTTTGATGAATTTAGATGAGAAAGTAGATGAGGTATGTGAATGTGATATACCCCTATTTTTTCTTACTCTATTAGCAATCTAAAGACCTAAGTTTTAGCCTAATTTCTTTTGTTTAGAGAAAAACCAGTAGCTTTTATGTTAAGCAACAGCAAGCCTCTTTGTCAAGAATCTGTTTAAAAAATGTTAGCAGAGGCAGGATGTGGTGGCTCATGCCTGTAATTCCAGCACTTTGGGAGGCTGAGGCGGGAGGACTGCCTGAGCCTAGGAGTTTGATAGAAGCTAGGGCCACATAACAAGACTCCGTATCTACAAAAAGTTTAAAAAAAAAAAATTAGCTGGACACAATAGAACACCTGCAGTCCAAGCTACTTGGAGGGCTGAGGTGACAGGATCACTTGAGCCTGGAGGTCAAAGCTGCGGTTAGCTGTGATTGCACCACTGCACCCTAACCTGGTTGACAGAGTGAGATCCTGTTTCAAAAAAAAAAAAAGGAAAAGAAAATGTTAGCAGAGAAAAAACTGTGTGTGAATACTTCCAGTTACCTTACAGAGTGTGTCCTCTCATGAAATAAGCTGAGTGCAGTTGGGGTAGAAATTACTGGGAATGATCCAACTCAAGGATTCCAGGTTGTCTAAAACTAGAAAATGGTACTTTGTTGGATTTGTGAGGAGAAATACTATGGGTTTAAGAGGCAACTGGAATGTGCCAGTCAGCTCTTCACATGAGTATTGTTTCTTGTGAAGCAGATGAAAAACTAGAGAGATTAGCAGAACCTAATAAAAACAAGCTTGTGGCTGAGTGCAGTGGCTCACACCTATAATCCCAGCACTTCGGGAAGCCAAGGCAGGTGGATAACCTGAGGTCAGGAGTTCAAGACCAGCCTGGCCAAGGTGGTGAAACCCCATCTCTACTAAAAATACAAAAATTAGCCGGGCGTGGTAGTGCACACCTGTAATCCCAGCTACTTGGGAGGCTGAGACACGAAAATCACTTGAACCCGGGAGGCAGAGGTTGTAGTGAACCAAGATTGTGCCACTGCACTCCAATCTGGGGGACAGAGCAAGACTCCATCTTAGAAAAAACAAACAAACACAAACTTCTGTCTGGATGGTGGGGTAGAGTGAGTAAGTATTAAGTTTATCTTTGAGGCAATAAAAGAAAGAAATAAGTGGTTTTCTTACACACTGTGCAGCCAGATCTGATGCTTCACTTTTTCCATTTCCTCCCTCAGAAGACAAAACTGCCAAAGCCAAGGTCCAACAGGCTCCTGATGGATCCCAGCAGAGTCCAGATGGCACACAGCTTCCGTCTGGACACCCCTTGCCTGCCACAAGCCAGGGCACTGCAAGCAAATGCCCTTTCCTGGCAGCACAGATGAATCAGAGAGGCAGCAGTGTCTTCTGCAAAGCCAGTCTTGAGCTTCAGGAGGATGTGCAGGAAATGAATGCCGTGAGGAAAGGTAAGAGATGAGTCGTGAACCATTAGTGGTAGTGAAGAGGTCCTTTTAGTTCTTTTGGGCCATCAGATTTGTGTATGAGCTATCATTAGGGCAGTATTTATGGAAACACCTTCCTCTTTTAGGGCCAGAGAGGAAGGTCTTCAAGATAGACAGTCAAGGGACTATATTGCAAAAGTGGGACTTTCTGGTGTGTATGTAGGATGTGACAGGCTTTTATAGTAATTACTTAATTTCTTAAAATAACCTGCAGTCTTGAGCTGCTACCAGCTGCCTTTTGTCCCTTTGGTCTTTCCCATCATCTGGTGGGATAAAGATAGAAAACAATGGTTTTACTGCAGTAAGTGCTGGTCCTAGGGCTCCCAAGCTGGGTGTCTTACTGATGGTCATTGAATTGCAACCTTAACTCCACAATATATAGCTGTGGCTACATCTGCAGGGCACTCAAGGCTCCCCAAAAGCCTAACCAGCAGAAATTATGCATATGGCCAAAATTGTTTTCTATGAAGAAAATTGAGATTAAGACCAGGCTCAGTGGCTCACGCCTATAATCCCGGCACTTTGGAAGGGCTAGGCAGGTGGATCACTTGAGGCCAGGAGTTTAAGACCAGCCAGGCCAACATGGCGAAACCCCATCCCTACCAAAAATACAAAGATTAGCTGGGCATGATAGCACATGCCTATAGTCCCATCTACTCAGGAGGTTGAGGAGGGAGGATCATTTGAACCCAGGAGGCAGAGGTTGCAATGAGTCGAGATCGTGCCACTGCTCTCCAGCCTGGGTGACAGAATGGGACTCTGTCTCAAAAAAAAAAAAAAAAATCAAAAACCAGAAAATTGAGATTAGGATTGGGTTGGGGATGTTGTGGAGTGAATAAGACATGCCAACCAGCAGAGAAAGCTTTGGACTTTATTGTTCATTAAAGCAGGCCAGTAGCTCTGAAAACAACACCATGAGTCTGCCATTACAGTAACTAAAATAGAAGAGATGCTTTGTACACTCAGTTACAGCTAACTTTGGTTATGCTTGGCCTTTTTTGTGAACTAGGCAATAAACCATTTTTGACAGGATGTCTGGAAGATACTGTGAAATCAGAATAGAAAGTTGGTCCCATTTGTTTCTTGTTACTTTTGTTCCAGAGGTTGCTGAAACCTCAGCAAGCCCCAGTGTGGTTAGTGTGAAAACTGATGGAGGGGATCCCAGTGGGCTGCTGAAGAACTTCCAGGACATCATGCAAAAGCAAAGACCAGAAAGAGTGTCTCATCTTCTTCAAGATAACTTGCCAAAATGTAAGTCTTATTGTTATTTGCCTGATGTAGGAGATAATTTATAATTTAAATGTACATTAGATTAAATATAAAATTGCATGGTGAGGCTGAGCACAGTGGCTCATACCTGTAATCCCAGCACTTTGGGAGGCTGAGGCGGGAGATGATCACTTGAGGCCAGGAGTTTGAGACCAGCCTTGGCAACATAGCAAGACACTATCTCTACAAAAACAGTTTTTTAAATTAGCCAGGCATGATGGCTCACACCTATAGCCCCAGCTACCCAGGAGGCTAAGGTAGGAAGATTGCTTAAGCCCAGGACTTCAAGGTTCAGTGAGCTATGATCACGCTATTGTACTCCAGTCTGAATGACAGAGAGAGACTCTGTCTCTAGGAAAAACAAAAAATGTATGGTGAGTTGAGGCTTGAAAGGCATATCCCTTGCTTGCGTGAGCAGGTGCTTTTGGTTATGGTGACTACAGGTGCTGTTGGTAGCCTGCCTTCTGTCCTTTAATACCTACCATCTACACATGGCACTGGGCCAAACACTTGATATACAGTCTTTTTTTTTTGAGATGGAGTCTCGCTCTGTCTCCCAGGCTGGAGTGCAGTGGCCGGATCTCAGCTCACTGCAAGCTCCGCCTCCCGGGTTTACGCCATTCTCCTGCCTCAGCCTCCCGAGTAGCTGGGACTACAGGCGCCCGCCAACACGCCCGGCTAGTTTTTTTGTATTTTTTAGTAGAGATGGGGTTTCACCGTGTTAGCCAGGATGGTCTCGATCTCTTGACCTCGTGATCTGCCCGTCTCGGCCTCCCAAAGTGCTGGGATTACAGGCTTGAGCCACCGCGCCCGGCCAATATACAGTCTTATTTACTTACAAGATGAGGACATCAAATAACCTGCCCAGGATCTCCTTCAGTGGCCAAGCTGAGACTTGTTGTCTTTCACCAAAATGCAGTTGTGTTTCACAACTGTCATTCTCTCCTGTCTTTTGTTTGATTTTCAGCTGTTTCCACTTTTCAGTATGATCGTTTCTTTGAGAAAAAAATTGATGAGAAAAAGAATGACCACACCTATCGAGTTTTTAAAACTGTGAACCGGCGAGCACACATCTTCCCGATGGCAGATGACTATTCAGACTCCCTCATCACCAAAAAGCAGGTGTCAGTCTGGTGCAGTAATGACTACCTAGGAATGAGTCGCCACCCACGGGTGTGTGGGGCAGTTATGTAAGTAGCCCTTGGCTTTCAAATATTACTGGTGTTATTAGGCAAGCCAATGATGATGTATAGGGGTTGGATCTTTATGGAGGGAACATTCAGTAGCTGAATGCGTGCCACAGCAAAATACTATTCTTAGTTTCTGAAAAATATCTACAGATTATTTTTAAAGGAACTCTAATATGCAAGTAGCTGCTGGAGCCCCTTAGCTTGTGAGGGTTCAAGTTTATAGGCTCAATGACCACACATGTCAGTCCACTTTCTACCACTCTACAAGTGAGTGTGCCTTTAACACCAGGCAGTCTTGCACAGAGACATCCTTGGTTGTGGCTGTGAGAGGAGAAATACGAATCTAGCAGCGCTAGAGAAAAAGCTACTTCAAAAGACATGTTAAAAAGGATGTAGGTCCCATTACTCCTCCTTCAGGAGGCTTACCATCCTAGGGATGCTTGAGAGAGTGGCTTGCCAGATTCTCCAAAGGCTTGCTAAAGAGGTTTGAGGTTTAATTTAACCAGTTTGAGGTTTAATGATAGTGATATATCCTAACATTACATGACTGGCTTGCAGAGGGTAACCACCATCCAGAATGTCCCTCTAGAGTTTGTTTTTTCTTAAGATAACATGTTATTGGAAAGAATAATGTTTCTCAGAGAAAATAAACCTTAGTTTCTTAGACAAGAAACTCAGCTAATACCAAGCACTTACTGATTGTTAAATGAACACTTGTTCTTGATGATTCCTGGAGGTGTCATCACCCTAGTGTTGACACCTTCTCCCACCTAGTCTGAAGATGAAATCAGTTGAAATTTCTGACCCCAGGTTTCACAGTGAGAGAGTTGCTACATCAACATGTTTGAGTCTCCTGGATCCTAGAAAGAGGAAAAAATTCACATAGTGTTTAGAACCATGAGCTGTATTTTCTGGTTTTGTTTGTTTGTTTTTTTAAACAGGGACACTTTGAAACAACATGGTGCTGGGGCAGGTGGTACTAGAAATATTTCTGGAACTAGTAAATTCCATGTGGACTTAGAGCGGGAGCTGGCAGACCTCCATGGGAAAGATGCTGCACTCTTGTTTTCCTCGTGCTTTGTGGCCAATGACTCAACCCTCTTCACCCTGGCTAAGATGATGCCAGGTAAGGAAGCCTGGCATGGGTGCCTTAGAGTTTTTTGGGTTTCTTAGTAATAACAAGAAAATTGGCAACAAAGAAGGCTTACCAGAACCTCTCAATTGAAAATCAATCCTATCTGGGCATTTGTTCTGGGGTCAAGCATGAAATGCTAACTGTACATTATGGGTTCCAGGAGAACATGATACCAGTGAAAATTAAAACTTGAAACGTCTTGTCCTTGAGCTAATTGCCTCAAATATGTTTTATATTCTAAGATGATCCTTTGGAGAAGTCTCTAAATCATTTAGTTAGCTCTTGATTGAGTTTGGAGTGAGGCAGCCAGATTTAAGAGCAGATTAATTGCCTGCCACAAGGTTATTCTACACCTTTGGACCTTCTCACAGGGGAAGCACTAACTAGTTATTTTGCCAGGAAGAAACTGGCACACAGTGTCTTTTTCCTAATAGGCATTTTCAAAGCATCATTTCCAAGGAAAAGTCTGTCGTCTCTCTCTAGGAAATAATTTGTCTTTGATGCACGTGGCAATAAATAGCATTTTTGTTGTCTTAGGCTGTGAGATTTACTCTGATTCTGGGAACCATGCCTCCATGATCCAAGGGATTCGAAACAGCCGAGTGCCAAAGTACATCTTCCGCCACAATGATGTCAGCCATCTCAGAGAACTGCTGCAAAGATCTGACCCTTCAGTCCCCAAGATTGTGGCATTTGAAACTGTCCATTCAATGGATGGTAAGTGTGGACAGAAGTTCCTCTGAAATCTAAGATGAAAAACTAGGCCTGAACTCTTTAAAAGTATGGTGTTTTGTTGTGTTTTTTAATTTTATTTTTTTTCTTTTGAGACAGAGTCTCGCTCTGTTACCCAGGCTGGAGTGCAGTGGTGCAATCTCAACTCACTGCAAGCGCCGCCGCCCGAGTTCACACCATTCTCCTGCCTCAGCCTCCCGAGTAGCTGGGACTACAGGCGCCCGTCACCATGCCTGGCTAATTTATTTATTTATTTATTTATTTGAGACAGAGTCTCGCTCTGTCACCCAGGCTGGAGTGCAGTTTCACCATCTCGGCTCACTGCAAGCTCCGCCTCCTGGGTTCACACCATTCTGCTACCTCAGCCTCCAGAGTAGCTAGAACTACAGGCGCCCACCACCACGCCCGGCTAATTTTTTGTATTTTTAGTAGAGATGGAGTTTCACCATGTTAGTCAGGATGGTCTTGATCTCCTGACCTCGTGATCCGCCCGCCTCGGCCTCCCAAAGTGCTGGGATTACAGGCATGAGCCACCGTGCCCGGCTTGTTGTATTTTTTAATTATCTTTTCCTTTCTGCCAGGATTTTTGTTTTTTTTCTTCCAACTTTTAGGTTCAGTGGGTACATGTGTGGGTTTATTATATGGGTAAATTATGTGTCACAGGGGGTTGGTGTACAAATTATTTCATCACCCAGGTAATAAGCATAGTACCCAATAGGTAGTTCTTGATCTCACCCTCCTCCCACCCTCCACCCTCAAGTAGGCCCCCAGTGTCTTTGTTCCCTTCCATGTGTTCTCAATGTTTAGCTTCCACTTATAAGTGAGAACGCTATTTGGTTTTTCCGTTCCTGTATTAATTCACTTAGGATGGCCTCTAGTTTCACCCATATTGCTGTAAAGGACATGGTCTCGTTCTTTTTTTATTGCTGTGTGGTATTGCATTCTGCCAGGATTTTGTAATTGGTGGACTTTTTAAAATAGATTTGGGTGAAAGTGGATTTTCTATTCTGGCTTTCACTAGGCTCTGGGATCCCAGGTAACCTAGAAATTGGAGGAAGTTCATTTTCTTTCCAATATTAAAAATGATACCTTAGAATATAAGTTTGCATTGTTCTGACTCTAACCAAAACAGAAATTTCTGAAGTGGCAAGCTCTTCAGAGCAGTCTCTGGTCTTTCCTCAGGGGCAGTGTGCCCACTGGAAGAGCTGTGTGATGTGGCCCATGAGTTTGGAGCAATCACCTTTGTGGATGAGGTCCACGCAGTGGGACTGTACGGGGCTCGAGGCGGAGGGATTGGGGATCGGGATGGAGTCATGCCAAAAATGGACATCATTTCTGGAACACTTGGTATGTATACATTGCATTACATACACTAAAATTCCATTATCCTAATAAGGCCAAGGACTAACTAGTCTGACTGGGACCAGGTGAGGAGACAGTCTGGCAGCATATGAAGCCTGGGCCACTCTTTCTTTTGGCCCAGCTTAGTGGAATCCCTTGGGTCATGGAGGCATGGCTCTTAGAATCAAAGTAAACCCCACAGCCTAACACAACAGATAGACCATTTATTGCCATCTGAATTCATTTCAGACAGAGTTGTGGGTCTAGCCACATGCCATGGCAAGAGCCTGTACTCTCTGTGTCTCAGGTTGTTCTTAATTAAAAAGAAAAAAGAATTCTAGTATTTTCTCCTGGAGCACTTGTTAGGTTCAGGTGTTGTGAAGTGCTGAGCTCCGTGCCTCCCACATGGGAACGTTCCAATTCATCCTAGTTTTCCTCTGTTTTTCCTCATACAGAGGCTATGTCTTGTGGTAGGTGGGAGCTAGACTTTGGAGTCCTGCCGCCTCACTAATTGTGTGACCTTGGGTTGGTAGTTAACCTTTCTATACCTCGGTTTCATCATCAATATAATGGAGAAAACAATAGGACCTAAATCAGAAGTTTTGTGGAGAAGGTAAATAAGTTATATGCAAACAGTTACTATAGACATTCCCTCTGAGAACCTATGAGAACCCTAAAGAGATGAAAATTATATAAATTTGAAGTTTTGTTTTTTTTTTTTACCCAGCCTTAGCTGGGTAAAATTCCAGCCTCGGCCGGGCGCGGTGGCTCAAGCCTGTAATCCCAGCACTTTGGGAGGCCGAGACGGGCGGATCACGAGGTCAAGAGATCGAGACCATCCTGGCTAACACGGTGAAACCCCGTCTCTACTAAAAAATACAAAAAACTAGCCGGGCAAGGTGTCGGGCGCCTGTAGTCCCAGCTACTCAGGAGGCTGAGGCAGGAGAATGGCGTGAACCTGGGAGGCAGAGCTTGCAGTGAGCCGAGATCCGGCCACTGCATTCCAGCCTGGGCGACAGAGCGAGACTCCGTCTCAAAAAAAAAAAAAAAAAAATTCCAGCCTCTGGGATAATGTTCGCAGTGGGAAGATGGTGCAAGCACTGCAGAGCCAGTCTTGTTCCAAAGAGCACATGCAGTGCAGCTTTCAAAAGTGAGTAAGGCAGTTGGAAACCCATCTAGCAGTTAGTAAAATGCCAGTTTATAACCTGTGCTTGGTAAAGGAAGGGCAGGCTCTTTAAAAAGTGTCCTTCAGCACTGTCAAGGGGTGTGAGAACCTAGTGCCGACCCAGCGAGCCTGGGAGTTTGAAGGGCGGAACCCCTACCAGGAGAAAAGCACTTAATCATGTGTCCTAATTCAAGAAGCTCTTTTCTTTTTTCTTTCTTCTTTTTCTTTTTTTTTTGAGACAGAGTCTCACTCTATCGCCCAGGCTGGAGTGCAGTGGTGTGATCTCGGCTCACTGCAAGCTCCGCCTCCCGGGTTCATGCCATTCTCCTGCCTCAGCCTCCCAAGTAGCTGGGACTACAGGCACCTGGCACCACGCCTGGCTAATTTTTTGTATTTTTAGTAGAGACGGGGATTCACCGTGTTAGCCAGAATGGTCTCCATCTCCTGACCTCATGATCTGCCCACCTCAGCCTCCCAAAGTGCTGGGATTACAGGCGTGAGCCACTGCGCCCAGCCAGAAGCTCTTTTCTTTTAAGGATGTCTCCTGATGTGGGCTCTTTGAAGGTATGGTCATTGTGAGATGGAAAAGGCTGGAGAGAGAAACTTTGTACCATAGGAGATTGAACCAACTCGGCTTTGCATGTGGTTTTAGCAAAAGCATTAATTATAGAATGTGATGTTAAGATCTATGAAGACTCTTCTGGAGTTCTTTTTGTTTTTTGAGATAGGCTCTCACTTTGTCGCCCAGGTGTGATCACAGCTCACTGCAGCCTCCACCTCCTGGGCTCAAGTGATCCTCCCACCTCAACCTCCTGAATAACTGAGACTACAGGTGTATGCTAGCATGCCTGGGTAGTTTTTGTATTTTTAGTAGAAATGGGGTTTCACCATGTTGGCCAGGCTGGTCTCTAACTCCTGAGCTCAAGTGATCTGCGTACCTCGGCCTCCCAAAGTGCTGGGACTACAGGTGTGAGCCACGGCACCTGGCCTCTTCTGGAGTTTTTAATCCTGAAACTTGAGATGCAGATTATACAAAAGGACTCAGTGAGAATTGAAAACCAAGTCTGGCCCTAAATCAATCCTAACAGGCTCTGAGTTTTCATATTTGTCTAGCAAATGCATTAATTGTCCAGAGTTTTGTTCTTAACTAAGTAGGAAATAACACCAGTCACACCAAAACAGTTAACGCCTTAGCTGGGTAAAATTCCAGCCTCTGGGATAATGTTCGCAGTGGGAAGATGGTGCAAGCACTGCAGAGCCAGTCTTGTTCCAAAAAGCACATGCAGTGCAGACGTGGGGAGTGGAGCTGTGCTGGCTGTCAGAGCAGCAAGCCTGAGTGAGAAAGGGAAAGGAGAATAAGATGGTGGGAAGGGAGGCAGCAGCAGGGTATTTGGGCACACTGGGACCCACTGAGGTGTCAGGTCTGATTGGAAGACCTGCATTTTGATCCTGGTTAGACACCAGCTTGGCCATATGACTTTGGGCAAGACCCTTTTGTAACCTTCCTTAGCTTTTTTACCCTTTTAAAAATGAGTAGCCAGGCACAATAGCTCACACCTGTAATCCCAGCACTTTGGGAAGCTGAGACAGGAGGATCACTTAAGCCCAGGAGTTTGAGACCAGCCCTGGGCAATGAAGCATGGACTCCTCTCTACACAAAATAAAAATTTAAAAAATTAGCCAGGCATGATGGTGTACACCTGTACCAGCTACTTGGGAGGCTGAGGTGGAAGGAATACTTGAGCCCAGGAGGTTGAGGCTGCAGAGAGCTATGATCATCCCACTGCACTCCAGCCTGGGTGACAGAGCAAGACCCTGTCTCTAAAAAAAAGGATGATTAGATATCCTTTTATAGTCATGCATTGTGTAACGATGGGAGATACGTTCTGAGACTTGCATCACTAGGCAATTTCATCATTGTGCAAACACCATAGAGTGTACTTACATAAACCTAGATGGTATAGCCTACTGCACACCTAGGCTTTGTGGTATGGCCTGTTGCTCCTAGGCTGCAAACCTGTACAACATGTTACTGTATTGGATACTGTAGGCAACACCATGGTATTTGTGTATCTAAACATACCTAAACATAGAAAAGGTACAGTAAAAATACAGTATTATAATCTTATGAGAGCACCATCATATATGTGGTCGTTATTGACTGAGACATCATTAATGTGGTGCATGACTACACCAATCAGTCCGGAAACAAATTAAGAAGATAAGGAGAAAAGTCAGTGCTTTGAGGCTACAACACCTTGCTGTGTCCATTTAGAGGCTATTGCTGTAATTAATGAAGCTGTCTCCTCCCAGGCAAAGCCTTTGGCTGTGTTGGAGGGTACATCGCCAGCACGAGTTCTCTGATTGACACGGTACGGTCCTATGCTGCTGGCTTCATCTTCACCACCTCTCTGCCACCCATGCTGCTGGCTGGAGCCCTGGAGTCTGTGCGGATCCTGAAGAGCGCTGAGGGACGGGTGCTTCGCCGCCAGCACCAGCGCAACGTCAAGCTCATGAGACAGATGCTAATGGATGCCGGCCTCCCTGTTGTCCACTGCCCCAGCCACATCATCCCTGTGCGGGTAATGGCGTGTCTCTGATCGGACTTGCTGTGGGCTGTGCCTCTACACATGATGTACGGATGTTCTGCTTCATACCTTCCTGAAGTTGGGCTTGAGAGGGGTGACTGCCAGGGAGGGATTGTAGCCAGCCACCCTCTGTCATGTTTCCGCCATTGGCTGACTTCACCATGAGAAGAAAGCCTTTGAACCCAGCAGGCTGGGGCAGAAGTTCCCTCTCCAGAGCACTGACCTTAACAGGGTAAACACAGAGCTTGTATCTGGAAAGCTCCAGAAGCCTGAGCTTGGCCAGCTTTGAAGTATGGCTTTCTACTTAGTAAATTTCAAAATAGGTTTTGCCCTTCCCACTACAAATGGTAGCACTGTTGATGTCACAGTTAAATTAGTATAATGAATACAGCTAGTATAACCGAATCTAGATTATACATCCTGGGTATGAGAGTCTGCTGGTACTAATGGAACCAGTGTTTTCTCATTAAAAATGTATTTCTTTTTAATAAGGTTTTGGTTCTCTGGTCTTCACAAAACAACACTGGCTCCTTTTAAATGACAGGTGTTTGGGCAGCGCTTTCCCTCTGCCCCAAGCTTGCATATGTTGCTACAGTCTGGTCTTGAGCCTGAGTGTTGTGGGGACTGTGTTCGTTAGAATCTCTGCTAAGAGGTAGTCCTTCCTGTTGTGACCTTACCTTCTGCTCTCATTGAACTTAGGTTGCAGATGCTGCTAAAAACACGGAAGTCTGTGATGAACTAATGAGCAGACATAACATCTATGTGCAAGCAATCAATTACCCTACCGTGCCCCGGGGAGAAGAGCTCCTACGGATCGCCCCTACCCCTCACCACACACCCCAGATGATGAACTACTTCCTTGGTGAGTACCTTTGCAGTGTTTATAATTGAAGCCCTTCAGAGGCATTCAGATTTGTTTCTTCTTCTTTTTTTAGTTTTTTTTTTGTTTGTTTGTTTTTGTTTTTGAGATGGAGTCTCGCTCTTTTGCCCAGGCTGGAGTGCAGTGGCGTGATCTTGGCTCACTGCAAGCTCCGCCTTCCGGGTTCACGCCATTCTCCTGCCTCAGCCTCCTGAGTAGCTAGGAATACAGGCACCTGCCACCACGCCTGGCTAATTTTTTGTATTTTTGGTAGAGACGGGGTTTCATCGTGTTAGCCAGGATGGTCTCGATCTCCTGACCTCGTGATCCGCCCGCCTCGGCCTCCCAAAGTGCTGGGATTACAGGCGTGAGCCACGGTGCCTGTTTCTTCTTTTTCCCAGTAACTAAGCATGCCCTCAAATGGTTCAAAACCCTAAACGATATTTATTGTCTGATTCACATCAAGAGGGTGGAGTGTCATTTTGGGAGCTCTGAGGGAGCCTGGGAATCTGCTCAGTGTTCCCAGTGCCCCCTTGTCTACATGGCTGAAGGATACACGGTAATGACTTGCAGGGAGAAAAGGCCTCTGAAGGCTTGAGTCCCTGCTGGTCCCCCAGAGTCCAGCTCACATTTGTCTTCGCCACTGCCCTCTACTCCATGACGTTGTATAATCCTTGAATAACCCCACACGTAATCCCCTCTGATAAGAGGAATTGCTCAACATTTTCAACTGCCCCGTGCTTCTATACTGCCCCACCCATGTCCAACCTAAAGGCAGAGACAGAAGGGGGCTGTTAGCCACAGGTCACCTCTGCCTCAAAGGTACATTGCCCTCCCAAGCCCGCCCAGCATGGCTCAGCTTCCTCATGGGCTCTCTGTTCTATTGGAAATGCTGGGTTTAAACTGTCATGTGGCAGTGTTGGAGCAGCTTCTTCCCTACAGGTCTGTGAAATCAAGCCCAACTCGGGGTTTTATTTTTCTCTTTATTTATTTTTATGAAAGCCTTAAAATTTTTATAAAAGCCTTATCTCAATAGAGATATAACTCACATACCATAAAATTCACCCTTTAAAGTATCCAAGTCCATGATTTTTAAATACACTCCCAGTGTTATGCAACCATCTCTTCTATCTGATTCTAGAACATTTTCATCGCCTCAGGCCCCGCTGCCCGTTAGGAGTCACTCCTCTTTTCCCCATCCCCAGCCCCTGTCAACCACGGGTCTTTCTGTCTCTGTGGATTTGCCTTTTCTGGACCTTGTGTCTAAGTGGAAGCATATGGCGTGTGTTCCTTTGTGTCTGCCTTCTTCCAGCATCATGTCTGCAAAGCTCATCCATGCTGTAGCATTCATCAGCACTTCATTTCTTTCTGTTATCAAATAACCTTCCATTGTACAGATTTACCACATTTTATTTATCCATCTATTGGTGGACATTTGGTTGTTTCTCTTGTTAACTGTTATGACTAATGCTGCTATGAACATTTGTGTATGAGTGTTTATGTGGACATATGTATTCATTTCTTTTGTGTATATTACTCCCTTTAATATTTAAAAACTGTTTCTCCTCAGAGAATCTGCTGGTCACGTGGAAGCAAGTGGGGCTGGAACTGAAGCCGCATTCCTCAGCTGAGTGCAACTTCTGCAGGAGGCCACTGCATTTTGAAGTGATGAGTGAAAGAGAGAAGTCCTATTTCTCAGGCTTGAGTAAGTTGGTATCTGCTCAGGCCTGAGCATGACCTCAATTATTCCACTTAACCCCAGGCCATTATCATATCCAGATAGTCTTCAGAGTTGTCTTTATATGTGAATTAAGTTATATTAAATTTTAATCTATAGTAAAAACATAGTCCTGGAAATAAATTCTTGTTTAAGTGGTGGCTCTTTCTGCTATTGGCTACTGAATAAAATTCTTCATTGACTGGACACAGTGGCTCACACCTGTAATCACAATACTTGGGAGGCCAAAGCAAGAAGATCACTTGAGGCCAGAGTTTGAAGCTGCAGTGAGCCACGATTGCTCCACTGCACTCCAGCCTGGGTGACAGAGCAAGACTGCCTCTAAAATAAAAAATAATAATTGTCATCATCCCTTTAAGTTCAGTCTGTATTCTAGGAATGAATAAGCTGAATAAAGTACTGGAGCTCTGGTAATGGCTTCAGAGCAGGAGAGGCAGAACCTCCCACAGCTTGAACCCTGCTACCTCCTTAATGCCTACTGTATCCAGTGGCTGACCCAGCTGCACCCGGCAACTGAACGGTTTTGAAAGAGTGACACCACCTTGGCGGCTGGTTTCACTTTAAACTTCTCACTTCATATCTTCAATGGACAGTGCTGCGTCGCAGTCCTGCTACAGCTGCCTCCCCCTGACTTTCCCTTTTAGCTACTGCCTTGACCCCATTTTTCCCTGTGAAAGTTTGGGCATCAGAAGACTGGCTTGTCTGTCACCACCCCATCCTCCAGCCTGTCAGCTTCCTGCACCTGTAGTTGTGTCCCATCCAGCAAAAGCAGAGGGGTTTGTGCTCCTCACCCTGCCTCTCTCCATTTGTATTTCAGGTCCTGTTGCTTCTTGCACGGTCCTACAACCATCTCTTTGCTGCAAAATTTCTCCCCCTCTGCTGGTTCGTTCTCCTTGGCCAGCAGAGGCTTTGTCCCCCTTCTGAAAAATAAGCTTGTTCTGTCTAGACCCTCTTCTTGCTCCCCCTGCCTCTCTGTGCTGCCCCTGTTCTGGGCAGTCACCCTTTCATCCCTGTTCTCTAGGAAGGCTGCTCATTTCTCACATCTGTCTCTTATCTTGCCAAGTCCAGTGGCCAGTTCTGTCTTCCTTTGTTGGATCTCAGTGATATTTGCAGTGGTTGTCCTTGGCCTTTTTGAAGCTTCTCCTCTAAGCTGTGCCACTAACCTCTGCTGATTGTTTTCTCCCTACCTCATGAGCTGGTCCTTGCTCCATTTGACTGGGTCTTCCTGTGAATGTTGATGGCCCCACCAGGCTGGTCTCTTAACTGTACTCAACTCCCCACCCAGCCCTGGGCTTTTTTTTTTTTTTTTTTTTTTTGAGACGGAATCTTGCTCTGTCGCCCAGGCTGGAGTGCAGTAGCCAGATCTCGGCTCACTGCAAGCTCCGCCTCCTGGGTTTACGCCATTCTCCTGCTTCAGCCTCCCGAGTAGCTGGGACTACAGGCCCCCGCCACCTCGCCCGGCTAGTTTTTTTTGTATTTTTTAGTAGAGATGGGGTTTCACTGGGTTAGCCAGGATGGTCTCGATCTCCTGACCTTGTGATCCACCCGTCTCGGCCTCCCAAAGTGCTGGGATTACAGGCTTGAGCCACCGCGCCCGGCCCAGCCCTGGGCTTTAAGCTGCATCTGTGCACTGCCATCTATCCCTGGGTGTCAAACAGGCACCTCCAACCACACAGGCACGGAGGGCACCCCGAGTCTGCTGCCCCTCCCTGTCTGGTCTTCTCCTTTCCTTATCTGCCCAAACACCAGACCTCTCCTGTGGAAATCAACCCTTTCCCTCCCATGCACACTACTAGCAAGTCCTCTACTAGCAAGTTCCACCTCTGAAGTGAATCTCAGGCCAGGCCACATCTCATCCCCTCCTCTGCCACCATCCTTGTCATGCCTCCATATGGCATCTGCCCGACTCACCCCAAGAGCAGCCTGAAAGATCTTTTAAAAATAAAATCAGATCATGTCCCTACCTGGCAGAAAACTTTCCTAGGTCTTCCAGTCACACTCAGATTAATTCAGGCTGGGCATGGTGGCTGATACCTGTAATCCCAGCACTTTGGGAGGCTGAGGTAGGAGAATTGTTTGAGCCCAGGGGTTTGTGAGAGTAGCCTGGGCAACAATGGGAAATCCCATCTCTACAGATAATTTAAAAATTAGCCAGGTGTGGTGATGCACACCTGTATAGTCCAGCTGCTCGGGAGGCTGAGGTGGGAGGATCGTTTGAGCCCGGGGAGTCGAGGCTGCAGTGAGCTGAGACTGCACCACTGCACTCCCGCCTGGGAAAGTGAGATCCTGACTCAAAAACCGTAGGCCGGGCACGGTAGCTTAGGCCTGTAAGTAATCTCAGCACTTTGGGAGGGCAAGGCGGGTGAATCACTTGAGGTCAGGAGTTTGAGACCAGCCTGGCCAACATGGTGAAACCCCGTCTCTACTAAAAATACAAAAAATTGGCCAGGTGTGGTGGCACGCACCTGTAATCTCAGCTACTCAGAAGGCTGAGGCAGGAGAATTGCTCGAGCCCAGGAGGCGGAGGTTGCAGTGAGCCAAGATCATGGCACTGCACTCCAGCCTGGGTGATAGAGTGAACTCCATCTCAAAACAAAACAAAACCCTAAACTCCTCACACAGGCTGGCAAAGTTGGGATCAAGGTCCCATCCAGTTCTCCAGACCCATCTCCCATCCTACCCTTGTTTGTTCACTGGGGGCCTCAAATACCTAGGTTCTGTGCAACTTCCAGGCCCTGGTGTAAGCCATTCTTTCTCTGCCAGGATGCTTCTCCCCTGGATCATGGTGTGGCTGCCTCTCTTCACTCAAACAAGGGTCCCCAAGGAGACCCCCATTGAGCATGCCGGCTAGGGCAGACCGTCTTGCAGTCTCACCGTTGCTTGGCCTCTGACATGACGCCCTTCAGAGCTCTGGTCACCACCCACAATGACTTTTCCCCTGCTGGCCATTTGCCCTGTTGTAATGTCATCTGCCTGACGACAGGTGCCTGTCTTCTCACTTCCGTGTCCTCAAAGTCCAGCACAGTGCCTGATACATAGTGGGTGCTAAACATATGTGTACTGAATGAATGAAAAAGAAACCCAATGGCAACAGGTCAAGTTCACTAGAAAGACAGAGAGTTGAAGCAAAACCAAGCAGCTGGAGTTGAGCAGAGTCCTTTGACCTCGCCTCCCTTCTCGTAGCTCTAGAAACAGCAGCTGTGTTTTCTCCTCTCTGGACAGAGTTGGGCTGGCTGCCAGGAAGCTGGCAGCAGGCCTGGGGCACACACCCTGAGAGCTCCGCTGAGTCACAGTCCCATCAGATAAAACCATACACCTAGGCAGGCTACAGGGCTTGATGAAAACCACATCACCACCGAATCATGATTCGGTTCCTTCCTGCTCAGGAAACGGGCCTCGCTCAGCATTCCCAGCTCTGCTGCCTCGCAGGAGCTTTCAGGGCTTTCTATGGTCCCTCTCATTTCCACACCCAGGACCCCAGCACCTCCCTTCCTTCAAATGGGATTGTTTTCCTCCAGCTGGGGTAATGTTGCTACCTGAATGCTTAGGAAGATCCACTCCTCCTTTGTAAGACCCAGAAGCAAGGCACTCAGGCGCATGTGCCCCTCCCTGCTTCTTGGGGTTATGAGAACAAAGGACCAGGTGACCTGCAGGAAGTAGGCCGGATTCGTGAACTGCTTAAAAATGGGGGTTTGGGCCCAGCTCCATGGCTCAAGCCTGTAATCCCAAAATTCTGGGAGGCCAAAGCAGGTGGATCACTTGAGGTCAGGAGTTCGAAACCAGCCTGGGCAACATGATGAAACCGCATCTCTACTAAAAATACAATAAATTAGTCAGGGGTGGTGGTGCATACTTGTAATCCCAGCTACTTGGGAGGCTGAGGCAGGAGAATCACTTGAACCCAGGAGGCGGAGGTTGCGGTGAGCCAAGATCACACCACTGCATTCCAGCCTGGGCAACAGAATGAGACTCCATCTTAAAAAAAAAAAAAAAAGGAAGTTTGGCTTTTGCAAGCAACTCTCATGTGAAACTACAATGTCATGAAAGTTCTCTAAGGATATTTAGAAGCTGACGGTATTAAATAAGGTGTCCTAAAGGGAAAAGGGCAAACTGTATTTGAAATCTTAGGCCGGGCGCGGTGGCTCAAGCCTGTAATCCCAGCACTTTGGGAGGCCGAGACGGGCGGATCACAAGGTCAGGAGATCAAGACCATCCTGGCTAACCCAGTGAAACCCCGTCTCTACTAAAAAATACAAAAAACTAGCCGGGCGAGGTGGCGGTCGCCTGCAGTCCCAGCTACTCGGGAGGCTGAGGCAGGAGAATTGCGGCGAGCCCAGGAGGTGGAGGTTGCGGTGAGCCAAGATCACACCACTGCATTCCAGCCTGGGCAACAGAATGAGACTCCATCTTAAAAAAAAAAAAAAAAGGAAGTTTGGCTTTTGCAAGCAACTCTCATGTGAAACTACAATGTCATGAAAGTTCTCTAAGGATATTTAGAAGCTGACGGTATTAAATAAGGTGTCCTAAAGGGAAAAGGGCAAACTGTATTTGAAATCTTAGGCCGGGCGCGGTGGCTCAAGCCTGTAATCCCAGCACTTTGGGAGGCCGAGGTGGGCGGATCACGAGGTCAGGAGATCGAGACCATCCTGGCTAACCCGGTGAAACCCCGTCTCTACTAAAAAATACAAAAAACTAGCTGGGCGAGGTGGCGGGCGCCTGTAGTCCCAGCTACTCGGGAGGCTGAGGCAGGAGAATGGCGTGAACCCGGGAGGCGGAGCTTGCAGTGAGCTGATATCCGGCCACAGCACTCCAGCCTGGGCAACAGAGCGAGACTCCGTCTCAAAAAAAAAAAAAAAAAAAAAAAAAAAGAAAGAAATCTTAGTGAACAGACATTCCTCACCTTGAAGTTTTCCTCCTATCAGGTTGCCTGAGTCTCCTGCCTGCTCCTCTGCTTCCTCATCTTAGGGAGCACTCTCTGCCCTGGTCCTGCTTCCATAGAAAGCTGTTGCCCCAGCTTCATGTGCCTCTAATACAACCACATCTGAACCCTGTCAGTGCCCTGGAAGGGGTCCCTGGCCCAGAGGATCATTGGGTGGAGAGAGAAACACTGAAGCCGCATCAGTTGAGGGTCCTGCGTGTAAATCCCATCACCTAATAATAACTGAGGCCCTACTCAGTGTTTCAGACCTTTACCCATTTTTTTTTTTTTTCTTTTTTTTTTTTT